TATTGTGAAGTGTCTGAAAAGGGTGCCAGCATGGTATTTGACCTTAAATGAACTATGGAGTTGAAGAGCGCCACCATGAGGTGGAGTTTAACAAGTAAACAAATGCACAGACAATGAACATTACACTTGTGCTCTCTTTGGGTCTTTTTTTGTCCTTTATATACAACATGTACAGATATTGTGTGAAATTCTATCTAACCGAAGCCAGGAATGTGTGTCATAAACTATAAAATGATTCCATAAACCTGCATCTGTTCGACATCCATGGCAATCAACGATCTATTTTATTGTTCTCACAATCGTTCCAACCACACGAAAAGAGAAGCAAAAACCTGATACCTCACTTGTCACTGCTTGTATTTCAGTTTTTCCGGAATATAAAATTAGGACAACGTGGTTGATCAAAAAGATCTCTCGGTTATGATTAATCAAATACCTTGTGATGTGTTTAGAATAATAAACTTCATTGTCATAGGACAACATGTTTAATGCACATTTGAAATTTAAAAAAGCAAATACATGTGAAAGCATCGATCCAGGGATTTTTAAAAGACTTTCAATCGCCATGGATGACAACGAAGCCAACAGTGAGTAACCTGCATGCACATGTAGGCCTGGATGTACCTGCAAGAATGTGAAGGCTCATCAACTAAAGCCCTCATCCATGTAAGTAGTCTTTCCAACACAAATTGTGCCACGGAGAGACATTTTTTGTTTAATTTTTCGCCTCTCTTTTGATTTTTGACACAAGCTGCATGACACGATTGATTGGTAGTCCGAGATCACTCGCCCACTGCGGCCGCCCGCGTGCGAGATGGTCGCCGAAGAAGCATAATGTCACGAACTAGTACTGCGATTGGATAGCTGTGTCTTGCCAAATCTACGTCATGAAAGTGCACAGTCTCATTGGCGGGCACGCTAGATTTCTTTGCAGCAATATGAATAATTCAGTGTTGGGCGATTAGTTGGACTCTTGAGATACGAGAATAGTCATGCGAACTTATTTGGGGCGTATTTTATCGGAAATGGGATGGGAATTTTTGTTTTGGTGTTTGTGTAATGAATGTAAAATATCATGGATTTTTTAATCGTGCACTATGTGTGTCATGACGACAGGAATATGGCAACCGATGTCTGTATATCGCGTTGTAAGCGTGCGTGCGATAAGCCTTTTGTTGCGCGACTGGAAATTTTGTGGGAGCACGCTCGCTTGAGTACAAGCAGTACAACTTCAAATTAAATTCATGAACACAGAAAACACAAACATAGACATGAGATCAATTTTTGTGAATGAACCTGCAGAAAAATTTGTGACGGCAGTGTTTTTCGACTTGCAACTATAGAGCTGCATTCGATGTAGTGGAACGTACGACCCTTTTTTTGGCAGAACCTGTACATTGACTGCTTGCCACATTTCCATCATGCCTTCATTGGCAACGGTTCGGCCCGACGGGAACCAGTGTGGTGCACCGCACACGTGTTTTCACCACTGCGATTCGCAAACGCTTTATGAATGGGTCGTCAAGAATGGTTTTTCAGTCAACGGAGTTAAAAAAAACCTTACGTTGTACCAGGAATTTTGTACAATGCTATTTTGCTGTAACATATTTTCTCCCCATAGAAATATGCACGTTTTCACTGGGACCACAGATTTGTGCATGTTGTAATCGGAATTTTGTTACAACCGGTTTCGAAATAGGAGTCGACTGCCGCGTCGCAGAGTTTTCTGAAAGCCGCCTTACCATTGCACACGCGCAGTGTTAGGGTGCAGCGAGAAGGAGCAGCCACTGGTGACCCGCACGTAATCATTACAATAACGCACTGTCTCGGCTTGACTGCAAGCACATGTGCAGATTTTGACACCGTACGAGCATTGAGGAATAAAACATGTACGAGTAACCGCACAGATATAGGAAACGCGGAGCAACAAATCGGTATTTTAAACACCGTCCCTTTTTAAAAAAAAATGAATAATTTTTATCTGACATCAAATGGAAAGATAAATTATAATAGTTACTAAGTTTAGGGGGTTTGTGACGTTAAAAACCCTTTATGCTGGCCCCCAGTGTTGTTTGTGGTTTGCCTTTGAATGCCAGCATCGCCGCTGCTTTTTGATGACGTCATTGCCTTCTGCAACGAATACCGCTGTATTAGTAAAAACAGCGGTATTTTTTCATGGATACCGCTGTATCGAAAAAGGCAATACCGCCCAAGCCTAAACCATGACTCACATCACAAGTGTGACGCGGGCGCCCCGCCTCCTAACAACCATCAAAGAGTCAAGTAATTGCACTGGGCTACTGCCCTGTGCGACGACTCTTCTTAAGTCGCTCTGAGCGTCGTGCGTCAGGTACGGCATTTGCTGGATTTGCCCCCCCCATGGACAGTCACTTCCTGTGGTTCAGTTGGCCTTAACAGAGAAGGTGAATGGACCAACACCTCTTCGTCAGAACTATCTGATCCTGTCTCGCTTCCACTGTCACATGGATCATGGGCTGCAGGGAGACCTAGCAACGGATTTCTAGGCATTGGTAACTCTTCCCTAGGATCTGCTATGAGCATTTTTCTGTTGGCCCACTTTTAAGGACCACCACTAATTGGCCTTACTGCATACACATCGCCCTCTGGGTTGTGTTTCACAACAACATACTGGTCCGAACGGTAGTGGTCACTGAGCTTATGGCGGTCAGTGAACTGACACTGTTTGAGAAGCACACGCGTACCCCCTGTATCATACTGCCTTTTGTTTCTCTGTGCCGCTGTGCACATTGCTAATCAAGTGATCCAACGGGATAGACGGTTCCCTACCAAACATAAGGCAATAAGGGGTGTAACCAGTTATGCTATGGGGCATACTATTGTAGATGAATACCAAATGTGGAAGAAATTTTGGCCATTCTCTGCGGTTTTGTAGTTCGATGGATTTGATGAGGCTACAGAGCATCTTGTTAAAGCACTCTGTCTGTCCATTGCCTTGCAGGTGATGAGAGGTGGTTCTTGTCTTGTGTACCCCATAAAGGCTGCATAATTCCTGTATTAATTTGCTTTCAAAATTTCTTCCTTGATCCGAATGGATCTGGGAAGGGATGCCGTATAAATGTACAAACCATTGGTCATGGAGAACCTGAGCTACAACCCTTGCTGTCTGATCTCTACATGGAGTAGCCAATGGGAACTTGGTAAAAGCATCGGTCATGACTAATACATCTTCAATGTTTCCATGACCTCGATCCAATTTTAGAAAATCTACAGCCAAGCGTTGCAAGGGCCAAAAAGCCAAGAGGTGGCGCATTGGAGGCCTAAGCACTGGTGTAGGGACCTTGGTCACTGTACACTGGAAACACTTGTGAATGATTATTCATACCTGGCCAGAAACAACGACCCTTGATCAAACCGAAAGTTCTCCCTACGCCCTGGTGCCCCCATCCATCAAGAGCAGCTTTCACAACTTCAGTCTTCAGTTGCTTTGGAACAAGCAACTGCAACACTCGCCCAGGACCGGGATCACCAATGGCTCTGTACAACACACCTTGTCGTTCAACAAATTGGGACCAATATTTTAGCCGACCTTTGACTTCCGGTGTACTTTGACCTTGACTCAGACCACCCATTCCTGGATCCCAATGACATTCCCAGAGACGCCACACCTCAACAAGGGCCTCATCCCCCTTTTGCATTACAGCCAAATCTGAATGCGAGTATGATGGCAGTACGGCAGATGCAACAACTGGTGGTTCTTCACCCCCCTTGCCTTCACAGACCTGCAAAGGTATCATTTTAGTGGCATTTAACCGATGAGGCAGGGGTGTCCCCTGTGTTACACACTGTAACTCCTCAGCTATATTGACCTACTGTTTGCTCAGGTGGATTGTGACTAAGCGCATCTGCGCATTTGTTAGAGCTTCATGATTAATATTTGATATCGGGGTTGAAAGGGGTTAATTGGGACACCCAACGCTCCTCTGTGGCCCCTAGTTTAGCAGTCTGCAGGTGTGCTAGAAGGTTATTGTCAGTCCAAACTTGTGCTCCTGCCCAACAAATACTCTTTAAATTTCTCAGAAATTGCCCACTTAAGGGCTAAATATTCCAACTTGAAGCTGGACGAGTCAGAATAACCCTTCTCGGCACCCCTAAGACTGCGACTGGCACAAGCCACACGGTGCAAATGGCCACTATCATCATACTGCGAAAGGCATGCACCAAGTCCTCTTAGGGAAGCATCTATTTTAACCACAAAATCACAGTCAAAG